AATTATGATCAGGGTGTTCATTTTTCCATGAGAAATTCTTTCTGATTAACCTAATACAGACAGTTTATTGACTATATTTGCCCAGGGGCATACACAATAAAATAAGAGGGCCATGATAGCCCTATTATTGCTCACCTGAATATAAGTACTCTCCATGAAAAGGAACAAGTAATATTGTAAACTATAAATGAAAGATATAAAATATAAATCTTAATCTGATACCACAAAGTTTCATAAGATGTCGCTGGTTGCTATACAAAATAAAATGCTATGAAATTCAATGGTAGATTCACTGGTTGCTATGGAAAGTTAATGTTTTGCTATGGCACTCACTGGTTGCTATTGAAATTTACAGTTTGCTCTGAAAAGTCAATGGCTACTTTGAAGTCACTGACTGCTATGGAAACTAAGCTTTAGCTCTTGTAGATTAAGAGTAGAATTTTTTACATATAAGGAAAATCTATGTTTCCCCGGGGCAGACCCAATTTTGACCCAAGAGCATAATTTGAACAATCTTTGTAGAAGTCCACAAGAGTGAAGACAGTATAATAGATAAAAGAGTTCAAAGGCTTCTGTTCAATTTGATTGAAATTTTCATGCTATATATATTGGAGTTATTTGTAAATCTGCTTGTAATAAACCATATTTAGACATACACTTTTTATTCATATATATATTTTCTGATATATTGAGAGACAATGTTTCATAAAAAATATCTAAGCTATAGTCTGAAGAAGTTATAAGGAAAATTAATGACCCCCCAACCCCTCCGAAGCCAGAGCCAATTTCAACCCCAGGGCTTTTATTTCAACATTTTTAACTTGGTAACGACCACTAGAAATTGTTTCATGCTAAATATCTCTAGCTCTCTGGCTTTTTAAGAGGATTTTTTTTTGGTTTTTACTTTATACATATAAAGAAAATCAATGATCCCTGTGGTGGGGTCAATTTTGATTCCAGGGCTTTTATTTCAACAAACTTGGTAACACCCACTAGAAGATATTTTATGCTAAATATCTAAGCTCTAGCTTCACTAGAAGATGTTTCATGCTTAATATTTGATCTCTAGCTCTTTGAGTTTTTTTAAAATAAGATTTTTTAGTTTTTTCTTCTTGGTTGCCATTGCAACCAAAGTTCTACATGGAACTAAATTCTTTGAACAATTTTCAAAGATGACCACCAAAAAAACATTCCCATGAAGATTGGAAGAAATTAGCTTAGGGGTTTATGAGGCAATGTCGTTTAAAGTAAAAGTTTACAGATGGACAGATGCTGGACAGATGGATACCGAGTTTGTGATCTCAAAAATAATTTTCCAAAGAAAACTAGAACTGCCACTATCATGGCGTGAATACCCCCGCATACCACTTTGTCAGAATCAACAGTAGCCATTTAGAGCTCAAGGACAACCTCCCTACCAAATCTGAGGTTACTAAGCCAGTGCATTGCTAAGTTATGTATTCTACATGCTTCAAATGTGAAAATGTCAAATCTATACATTGTGGACAGGACATTCTTTAGCAATTGAGAAGAAAAGCTTTTTTTTGTCAAGGTTCCTCTGACCTTGACCTTTGACCCAGTGACCTCAAAATCAATAGGGGTCACCTTATAGTCACGATCAACATCCATGCCAAATATGAAGACTGTGGGTCAAAGGAATCTTAAGTTAATGGGTGGACAAACTTTTTGAAGTCAAAGTCCCTATGACCTTGACCTTTGATCCAGTGACCTCAAAATCAAAAGGGGTCATCTACTAATCATGATCAACATCCATGCCAAATATGAAGACTGTGGGTCAAAGGAATCTAAAGTTATTGGGCAGACAAACATTTTGAAGTCAAAGTCCCTGTGACCTTGACCTTTGACCTTGTCACCTCAAAATCATTAGGGGTCATCTACTAATCATGACTAACCTCCATGCCAAATTTAATGACTGTGGGTAAAAGGAATCTTAAGTTATTGGGCGGACAAGCTTTTTGAAGTCAAGGCCCCTGTGACCTTGACCTTTGACCTAAAAGTCAAAAGGGGTCATCTACTAATCGTGACTAACCTCCATGCCAAATATGAAGACTGTGGGTCAAAGGAATCTTAAGTTATAGGGCGGACAAGCTTTTTGAAGTCAAGGGCCCCTGTGACCTTGACATTTGACCTGGTGACCTCAAAGTCAATAGGGGTCATCTACTAATCATGACTAACCTCCATGCCAAATATGAAGACTGTGGGTCAAAGGAATCTTAAGTTATTGGGCGGAGAAGCTTTTTGAAATCAAGGCCCCTGTGACCTTGACCTTTGACCTAGTGACCTCAAAATCAATAGGGGTCATCTACTAATCATGACTCACCTCCATGCCAAATATGAAGACTGTGGGTCAAAGGAATCTTAAGTTATTGGGCGGACAAGCTTTTTGAAGTCAAGGTTCCTGTGACCTTGACCTTTGACCTAGTGACCTCAAAATCAATAGGGGTCATCTACTAATCATGACTTACCTCCATGCCAAATATGAAGACTGTGGGTCAAAGGAATCTTAAGTTATTGGGCGGACAAGAAAAAACCGACGGACAGCAGGACGGACGGACAGCCGGACGGACAAGCTGATTCCAGTATACCCCCCTTACAACTTTGTTGTGCGGGGGTATAAATACTTTTTATATGATAACGTATGGTTTTCCATATTTGGACCTACTTTTTTACCCAGATGACCCATATTCAAACTGCTTTAGAAATCGGCAAAACAACCTTTCTGACCAATTTCCAGGATATCTGGACTGAAACAGTATCCCTTTAAGTGTTGATCAGGTTTTCAATATTTAGAAACCTATGGCCCCCGGGCTTGGGCCTTGACAATAGGGGCAAACTTTGAACAACTTTGTTAGTGGTCCAATAGTTGATATCATTTACCAAATATCAAAGCTCTAAGTCTTGTATCTTTCAACAATAAGATTTTTTAAGTTTTTACTTTATATACATAATGAAAATCATTGACCCCCGATTTTGCCCCCAGGACTTAAATTAGAGGTCCAATACACAATTTTTCATGCCACTTTGTGCTCAGATGAGCTAACAAGAGCCGATTGAACCGGGTGATGCTCCCCGAATAGGTTTTGGACACAGGAAGGAATACCTCTTGTAGTGACAAGACAAAGACAACCCAAATGTTGCGTGCGACACAATGTCTCAATATGGTAATCATTTCTGTGAAATAGTTGTAAAATCTGACTTCAAATAACAAAGTTATGGCCCGTACACGATTTTCCTGCAAGGTCATGCTGTGACCTTGACCTTCAATGTAGCCCCCTAAATGTTGCGCGCGACACATCGTCTCAATATAATGATCATTTCTGTGAAATAGTTTTAAAATCCGACTTCAAATAACGAAGTTATGGACCGGACACTATTTTGCTGCAAGGTCATGCTGTGACCTTGACCTTCAAGGTAGCAACCCAAATGTTGTGCCTGACAAATCATGTTTCATGATAAATATCTAAGCTATAGCTATTTGGGGTTTTTATAAGAAGATTTTTTAAGTTTTTACTATACACATAAAAGGAAAATCAATGACACCAAGGGCAGGGCCAATTTTGACCCAAGGGCCCTTATTTGAACAAACTTGATAGACACCCATTATGAGATGTTTCAATGCTAAATATCTTAGCTCTAGCCCTTTGGGGTTTTTAAAAGAAGATTTCCCATGGCAACCAGAGTTCTGCTTGGAATTAAATTCTTTGAACAATTTTTAAAGTTGGCAAAGGAATATTCCTGTGAAGTTTGGATGAAATTGGCTTAGCGGTTTATGAGGAGATGTCAATTAAAGCAAAAGTTTATGGGCGGATGGATGGACGCCGGACAAAAACGATCACAAAAGCTCACCATGTCACTTTGTGACAGGTGAGCTAACAAGAGCTGTCGGTAGGACAGCATGCTCGACTATTCTTAGTGCTTGATAGTAAAAAAAATGCCTGATACAGTTACCTCCTCCTGTTTACAGGTTGGGGTCATGATGGTGAACAAGTGTGCAAAGTTTCAAAGCCATATGTCAATGGACTTTGAAAATATTTGAACTATTACAAAAACTTTAACGTAAATTCTAAGTCGAAAAAGGGGCATAATTCTGTCAAAATGCTTGATAGAGTTACCTCCTCCTGTTTACAGGTTGGGGTCATGATGTTGAACAAGTGTGCAAAGTTTCAAAGCCATATGTCAATGGACTTTGAAAATATTTGAACTATTACAAAAACTTTAACGTAAATTATAAGTCGAAAAAGGGGCATAATTCTGTCAAAATGCTTGATAGAGTTACCTCCTCCTGTCTACAGGTTGGGGTCATGATGGTGAACAAGTGTGCAAAGTTTCAAAGCCATATGTCAATGGACTTTGAAAATATTTGAACTATTACAAAAACTTTAACGTAAATTCTAAGTCGAAAAAGGGGCATAATTCTGTCAAAATGCTTGATAGAGTTACCTCCTCCTGTCTACAGGTTGGGGTCATGATGGTGAACAAGTGTGCAAAGTTTCAAAGCCATATGTCAATGGACTTTGAAAATATTTGAACTATTACAAAAACTTTAACGTAAATTCTAAGTCGAAAAAGGGGCATAATTCTGTCAAAATACTTGATAGAGTTACCTCCTCCTGTCTACAGGTTGGGGTCATGATGGTGAACAAGTGTGCAAAGTTTCAAAGCCATATGTCAATGGACTTTGAAAATATTTGAACTATTACAAAAACTTTAACGTAAATTCTAAGTCGAAAAAGGGGCATAATTCTGTCAAAATGCTTGATAGAGTTACCTCCTCCTGTCTACAGGTTGGGGTCATGATGGTGAACAAGTGTGCAAAGTTTCAAAGCCATATGTCAATGGACTTTGAAAATATTTGAACTATTACAAAAACTTTAACATAAGTGGTTGCGCCGACGCCGACGCCGACGCTCGGGTGACTGCAATAGCTCTACTTATTCTTATCGAATAGTCGAGCTAAAAATGATGAAATACTTACCAGTTTTTTTATGAATACAGTATGCCACAAAACAGATGATAATAAAGCCAATGACGACAGCAACAGCAACAGGTGTGATCCATTTTTTTTCTGGTTCTGAAAAATGATGACACAAATTTTAGAAAACAAGAGAAGGGGCGTCTGTGGCCGAGTGGTTAAGGTCGTTGACTTCAAACCACTTGCCCCTTTCAGCTGTGGGGTCGAATCCCGACAGGGACTTTGAATTCTTTCATGTGACAAAGCTATCCAGCTAGCTTACAGAACTTCGGTGGTTCTACTCAGGTACGTGTTTAGGCCTGAAATAATGCAAAAATGGACACCTGAGGTATTCCACCACCAGTAAAGCTGGAACGTCACGATTTGACCTATACTGTGTCGATGTGACGTAAAACCCCCCAAAACAAGAACCGGTTGAACCGGGTGATGCTCCCCGAGAAGGTTCTGGACACAGGAAAGTATAAAAAAAATGAACAAAGGGCAAAAACTCCAAAATTAGGCAAAGCGGAGTTATGTTTTTTTTGCACTGCACTTCTTTTCAATGAGATCTATCTATCTATAAAGTTTCCTGATGATATCAGAGTTATGTCCCGGGTAAAATTCAAAGTGTAAAAATGAACAAAGGGCAATAACTCCAAAATTAGACCAGGCTTTGTTTAGGTTCTTAAGCATTGCAGTTCTATCCAATTATATCTAGCTACCTACAAAGTTTCATGTTGATATCTCTAATAGTTTTAAAGTAATGTCCCGGACAAAAGTCAAAAAGTAAAAATAAACAAAGGGCAATAACTTCAAAATAAGGCAAGGCAGAGTAATGATTCTCAAACACTACACTTCCACCCAATGAGACCTATCTATCTACAAAGTTTCATGTTGATATCTCTTATAATTTTAGAGTAATGTTCCGGACAAAGTTCAAAGTGTCAAAATGAACAAAGGGCAATAACTCCAAAAGTAGGCAAGACAGTGTTACAGTTCTTGTGCACCGCAAACCCACTTAATGAGATCTTTCTACCTACAAAATTTCATGTTGATACGTCTTATACTTTTAGAGTTATGTCCCGGACAAAGTTCAAAGTGTAAAATAAACAAAGGGGGATAATTAAAAAATTAGGCAAGGCAGAGTTACGGTTCTTGTGCACTGCAAACCTACTTAATGAGATCTATCTACCTACAAAGTTTCATGTTGATACCTCTTATACTTTTAGAGTTATGTCCCGGACAAAGTTCAAAGTGTAAAAATAAACAAAGGGGAATAATTCAAAAGTTAGGCAAGGCAGAGTTACGGTTCTTGTGCACTGCACACCTACTCAATGAGATCTATCTACCTACAAAGTTTCATGTTGATACCTCTTGTTGTTTCAACGTTATGTCCCGGACAAGAAAAGCGGACGGACGGACGGAAAGACGGCGACTATATACATAGAGGATATTCAAGTTTTTCATAAATACTGGATTTATTTTCATCGATTGGTATGATAATGAAATATTTCATGAGTGGCGGTAACCACGAGTGAAATATGATAATTTTCATACCACAAGATGAAAATAAATTCTGTATTTCTAAAAAAAAACTTGAATTTTCTGTTTATTATACACATGTATACATATTTCTCTTTTTTAACATTACAATTTAAAAGACTTTCCCTTACATTGTTGTGTACTGGCAGAATTTTAAAGATAGAAATCCGGCAAGGCACCAGTGAAAATACGGAAAATATGTTTCACTGCAGTGAAAAATAAATTTTTACAGTGAAAATACGGAAAATGAAAATACACATTTTCTTTCATCAATATTTCTCAATATTTCATTTATAAGTATATAATAAAATTGTCTCAATGGTGTATAAAAAAGTGTAAGATTATGTTTAAATCTAATCTATGTTTAAACATATAACAATGTGGGACTGTTAAGTCAATGGCGATTTTGTGAAATTATTTAACTAAACTGATGTACAGAGGAAAAATATTCTTGAAATGTAAACTTGACAGTTAATAATTGGACATTGAGTGTGTAATTCACTGTGTTGTAAATGGGAATCAATTACTAGTAATAACCCATTCTAACTGATGAATGGATTATGGTTAGATTTTTTACTATAATTATCTTAATTTGTTCAAATTTTCTTCTTTTTTCTAGCAATTCTTATAAAATATTTACTTTTATAACCTGTTTTTCTTTAATATATTATTGAAAATCTTGACTTAAACTATTTATTGTCAATTCTATATAAAAACTAGAAATGTGTCCATAGGACACGGATGCCCCCACACGCCACTGTTCTGTCAATCTTATGACTCTAGGTCAAATATTTTTTGGACTACATGTGCCACAAGTTGAAAACTAAAAATCAACGAAGGGCCATTATTCTGTTAAATTTGGTCATAGCAAAAATTCCTTCCTTTACTACCATCTACACATTAAGGTTGTTAATCCCTTGAAGTTTAAGCAAAATCTGCCATCCAGTTTAAGAGGGGTTGCGTTCACAAAATTTCTACATAGTATATAGTGAAAAAATCAACAAAGGGCCATAATTCTGTAAAATTTGGTCGCAGCAAAAATTCCTTCCTTTACTACCATCTACACCTTAAGGTTGTTCATCCCTGTAAGTTTAAGCAAAATCTGCCATCAGGTTTAAGAGGAGTTGCGTTCACAAAATTTCTACATAGTATATAGTGAAAAAATCAACAAAGGGCCATAATTCTGTTAAATTTGGTCGCAGCAAAAATTCCTTCCTTTACTACCATCTACACATTAAGGTTGTTCATCCCTGTAAGTTTAAGCAAAATCTGCCATCCGGTTTAAGAGGAGTTGCGTTCACAAAATTTCTACATAGTATATAGTGAAAAAATCAACAAAGGGCCATAATTCTGTTAAATTTGGTCGCAGCAAAAATTCCTTCCTTAACTACCATCTACACATTAAGGTTGTTCAACCCTGTAAGTTTAAGCAAAATCTGCCATCCGGTTTAAGAAAAGTTGCGTTCACAAAATTTCTACATAGTATCTAGTGAAAAAATCAACAAAGGGCCATAATTCTTTTAAATTTGGTCGCAGCGAAAATTCCTTCCTATACTACCATCTACACATTAAGGTTGTTCATCCCTGTAAGTTTAAGCAAAATCTGCCATCCGGTTTAAGAGGAGTTGCGTTCACTGCAAACCTACTTAATGAGATCTATCTACCTACAAAGTTTCATGTTGATACCTCTTATACTTTTAGAGTTATGTCCCGGACAAAGTTCAAAGTGTAAAAATAAACAAAGGGGAATAATTCAAAAATTAGGCAAGGCAGAGTTACGGTTCTTGTGCACTGCACACCTACTTAATGAGATCTATCTACCTACAAAGTTTCATGTTGATACGTCTTATAGTTAAAGAGTTATGTCCCGGACAAAGTTCAAAGTGTAAAAATAAACAAAGGGGAATAATTCAAAAGTTAGGCAAGGCAGAGTTACGGTTCTTGTGCACTGCACACCTACTCAATGAGATCTATCTACCTACAAAGTTTCATGTTGATACCTCTTGTTGTTTCAACGTTATGTCCCGGACAAGAAAAGCGGACGGACGGACGGAAAGACGGCGACTATATACATAGAGGATATTCAAGTTTTTTCTATAAATACATGATTTATTTTCATCGAGTGGTATGAAAATAAATATTTCATGAGTGGCGGTAGCCACGAGTGAAATATGATAATTTTCATGCCACAAGATGAAAATAAATCATGTATTTATAGAAAAAACTTGAATTTTCTGTTTATTATATACATATTTCTCTTTTTTTGCAATAAAATTTGAAAGACTTTCCCTTTAATTTTGTGTACTGGCAGAATTTAAAAGAAAGTAGTCCCGCAAGACACCAGTGAAAATACGGAAAATATGTTTCACTGCAGTGAAAAATAAAATTTTACAGTGAAAATACGGAAAATGAAAATACACATTTTCTTTCATCAATATTTCTCAATATTTCATTTATAAGTATATAATAAAATTGTCTCAATGGTGTATAAAAAAGTGTAAGATTATGTTTAAATCTAATCTATGTTTAAACATATAACAATGTGGGACTGTTAAGTCAATGGCGATTTTGTGAAATTATTTAACTAAACTGATGTACAGAGGAAAAATATTCTTGAAATGTAAACTTGACAGTTAATAATTGGACATTGAGTGTGTAATTCACTGTGTGTTGTAAATGGAAATAAATTATAATAACCCATTCTAACTGATGAATGGATTATGGTTAGATTTTTTACTATAATTATCTTAATTTGTTCAAATTTTCTTCTTTTTTCTAGCAATTCTTATAAAATATTTACTTTTATAACCTGTTTTTCTTTAATATATTATTGAAAATCTTGACTTAAACTATTTATTGTCAATTCTATATAAAAACTAGAAATGTGTCCATAGGACACGGATGCCCCCACACGCCACTGTTCTGTCAATCTTATGACTCTAGGTCAAATATTTTTTGGACTACATGTGCCACAAGTTGAAAACTAAAAATCAACGAAGGGCCATTATTCTGTTAAATTTGGTCATAGCAAAAATTCCTTCCTTTACTACCATCTACACATTAAGGTTGTTAATCCCTGGAAGTTTAAGCAAAATCTGCCATCCAGTTTATGAGGAGTTGCGTTCACAAAATTTCTACATAGTATATAGTGAAAAAATCAACAAAGGGCCATAATTCTGTAAAATTTGGTCACAGCAAAATTCCTTCCTTTACTACCATCTACACATTAAGGTTGTTCATCCCTGTAAGTTTAAGCAAAATCTGCCATCAGGTTTAAGAGGAGTTGCGTTCACAAAATTTCTACATAGTATATAGTGAAAAAATCAACAAAGGGCCATAATTCTGTTAAATTTGGTCGCAGCAAAAATTCCTTCCTTTACTACCATCTACACATTAAGGTTGTTCATCCCTTGAAGTTTAAGCAAAATCTGCCATCCGGTTTAAGAGGAGTTGCGTTCACAAAATTTCTACATAGTATATAGTGAAAAAATCAACAAAGGGCCATAATTCTGTTAAATTTGGTCGCAGCAAAAATTCCTTCCTTTACTACCATCTACACATTAAGGTTGTTCAACCCTGTAAGTTTAAGCAAAATCTGCCATCCGGTTTAAGAAAAGTTGCGTTCACAAAATTTCTACATAGTATCTAGTGAAAAAATCAACAAAGGGCCATAATTCTTTTAAATTTGGTCGCAGCGAAAATTCCTTCCTATACTACCATCTACACATTAAGGTTGTTCATCCCTGTAAGTTTAAGCAAAATCTGCCATCCGGTTTAAGAGGAGTTGCGTTCACAAGATTTCGGGACGGACGGACGGACAAGTGCAACGCTATATGCTCCCACATTGTGGGGGCATAACAATAACAATACTTGATTTATGTATACAAAATAAAAGATCTGATTTCATGGTTCATGGTTTGTATTTGCACAAGTTAAGTTGCAACAAATACAAGCCAGCAGTTTTTTTGTTATTGCATTTTTCAATTACTCTACTTTTTTATGTTGTATAACTTGTATACATTAAGTTTTCTTTCTTTGTTTATATAAATCTTTGTTTGTAACTGTATATATGTACATTTTTGATAGAGGCTCATAGGGAAGACTGGGCTTGCCTAACTATGTTGCCTCTTTAAATAAAGTCTTTATTATTATTATTATTATTATTATTTGCCATGCTTGCACAAGCTTACTATTAAACCTGCCCATGCTTGTCACAAGGTACAAAGAAGAGGGCCATGAGGGCCCTGAAATCGCTCAAATGTATATAGGCCCTCAGGACGGGGCCAATTTCAACCCAAGGGCTTTTATTTGAACAAACTTGGAAACTTGGTAGACACTCACTAGGAGATGTTTCATGATAAATATTTAAGCTCCAGCTCTTTGGGGTTTTTTTTTTAACAATAAACCCTCCCTCCCCCTTCCCCCCCCCCCCCCCTGAACCAATTTTGATCCAGGGCTTTTATTTGAACAAACTTGTTAGAAGATGTTTCATGCTTAGTATCTAAACTCTAGCTCTTTGGGGTTTTTTTTTCAAAGAAGATTTTTAAATTTTTTATTATACCCATATAAGTAAAATCAATGGGGCCAATTTTAACCGAATGGCTTTTATTTGAACAAAGTTGGTAGACACCCACTAGAAGATGTTTCATGCTTAAAATCTAAGCTCTAGGTCTTTGGGTTTTTTTAAAAGAAGATTCTTTAAGTTTTATTTTCTTTCGGTTGCCATGGCAACCAGAGTTCTGCATGGAATTAAATTCTTTGAACAATTTTTAAAGTTGACTGCCAAAGAAACATTCCTGTGAAGTTTAGATGAAATTGGCTTAGCGGTTTATAAGGAGATGTCGTTTAAAGTAAAAGTTTACGGATGTACACCAGATGAAAAGCGATCACAAAATCTCACCACGTCACTTTGTGACAGGTGAGCTAAAGAATAGCCAGTTAAAAGCTAACAAAATATGCCAGCAAGATACAATGATAACAGGAATAAGTAGATACAGAATAAACGGCTGGACCAAAAAAACACAGTATACATTAAAGGCATTTGGCAGATTCTGAAGATTTCCTTACATTTACCTATCTTACCTTCTTCACAGTTTCCATGATGTTTTAAATGGAATTTCCTATCCTTACAAAAGTTTTTCAAAAGGTCACATTCTGTTGAAAAAGTCATGTATTCTTCAGACTTTGAATCATATCCACAAACTGGTTTGAAAACAGGTGGACAACTATCAATACACACACATGTCCCATTTTTACATATGCTGTACTCATCACAGTCTTCTTTACAACCTAAAGAAAAACATGCAATGATATTTAGAGAGGAAAACAAAAATTGACTTAGTATGGTACTAGATAATGGTTCAAAACAATTCATAATGAATACAACAAGTTATTTCTTTAAACATAAAAGCTGACAAATTATTGAACTGTATGAACTGCATGATTTGTGCTTTTTGCTATAAATCAATCCAAAAGGTAAATTATAACCTACCTTCAACTGGAACTGGGACAACTGGAGTTGTTGT